TTGGAATAATGATTGAAATAAGTGCAAAATACTCGGATTTAATAACACGCGAGAACAACTAAGGAAGACATGATGTCCAGCGTATGAATTTTGTATATTAATAACGCGTCCTCCGCTATAATTATAGAATGATTTATGTCATGAAATCTGTTAACGGACGCGTAGTGCGGCATAGCCTCTGGGCACGCGCCGCTGAAACTTTCCTGAAAAATATCCTCAGCGTTTCATTATCCACGCCGGCGTGGTAACTCGTTTGGCTCACAGGCAAATGTCTTATCTCCCGGAAACTAGTTCAATTACTCAAAACTGCCGAAAGAGGATCTCCGCGGCAACGTGATTGCAGATTATGTCGTTGCTAACGTTCCCTCGGTATTCCCTGCGAGCGACAAAACTTCACAGAAGGGGAAAGGGATTAGCAGCGGCGGAACGATCGTCCAGAACTTGTCTATGGTCGGTTTTTCACCCGAAAGAATCAACTGTGATTCGCTGGAAGCTCATAGCCTGTCGTTCATTTTTCACGCAGACAATTTTCACACGTGGTGAAAGTTAAAAGCAAGTATAAAGTTCAACGATGTCGAATTAAGTGGATAAGGAAAGTTGAAACAAGATACTAGAAATTTTCATTAAACGTCGTTGCTCACTTCCAATTATAATATTCACAGCTGTCTACAAGCTGAAGTCAGTGAGAAATGCGTATAGTCAGTACCATCTCATCCATTTACGTTCACCACTGTCAAAACAGGAATCCCTAAAGGTATTTGATAAATCGATATTTAATTAACGGTAATAAGCGTCGATATTTCAAACGTAACGCCAGACCCAGCAATTTGCTAGTCAAATAAGTTTCGGAATAAATTAACGCCGAGAACCTGTTATATCATTTTTGAATCGTGTCACTTTTGCCTTTACGATGCGAGGTCGCAGCAGGTTTACACCCGGTCAAGGACGATAAGATTGATATTCACCGGTGTCCGCGAACCATACGGAGTCGTCGAAGAGGGAGAACTACCTGGTCTCGTTCGCAATTTACATGGCTTGTTAGTCGCGGTGTTAATATTACGTGGCGCGAAGGGGTCCGCGTTAGACCGAGCTTTTTTCCCAGCCGGTAAGTAATATCGAAGCGGTCTCTCGTTAATATTTTATTGATGCAGCCCTCGAACTGGCTACGCATCCTGAATTTCCACGACAAAGATTTATCTCGCTCCTGCAATCCGTCGTGCCTAGTAAGCTCATCGCGGTTGAGAAAGCTTCGTGGAAATAAAGAGCATTTCCGACAGGATCGCGTCGCGCCGTCCTTACCGCATTCGTTTCGACAACTTTTACACGGATTGTTAACTGTTTCCGCAGACATCCATCGAATGACAAACTTCATCGATAGCCTGTTATTCCAACTATTCGCCTTGACTCTTTCCTCTCACTCGATTAACCAAAGAATTGGAATGTCTCTGACTAAACTGATCTTTCTCTATGTTACGATCCGATTTTATTAAGTCTATTTACATTTCCGAACATTTGAGTACTTTTTTATTTGGTCGATAAGGACGCAACGATTCCTCTAGTATATCTGTGGGATTATAATTATAGTTCATAATCTAGTTATATTTCTCTGTTATCACGTGTTTGAAATCTAGACAAGAAAGTTCACTGAACATATGTATTTTTTCATACTACATTAAACATGGAATTAGAGCAAATCTGGCAATTTTGTGCGATAATGCATACCAAAACGATGAGAATCAAAAATTATTCGACTTCGAATGTCCACATAGTTGTAAACAGTTAAAGTGGAAACTAGTATTTTGCAAAAATGCGATTGACCACCAGGTGTCCACTCTGAACGCGTCACCCTTCAACGACCAGCAAATATACAGTCACTCGTGTGCATCTTCGCTCGATTAGCGATGGAATCAGAGCACGAGATCAAAATATTCCCCTGCAGGTCTGTTTATTGGTTAATCAGGTTTTACATTTGACCCAGAAAGCGAAAAGAAATTCATTCCTTGCAATTTGCGAGCGCAGGAGAGAGAAAGAGAACCGGTCGACGTTTCGTCGTCGAGTCGAGGCAGAGTGGCATTCAATAACGATGAACGCTATCGATAACGGTTTCGAGAACACTGTCCGAACCACGGACAACGTTCGTTCGGTTTCCGCCTTCGCTCAATTAACTGCGCGGTTGGAAACTGAAGGGGGAGACGGAGTGGATTGCGCTTTAAGTTCGCCTTACTTATTTAACCCCTTCTCAAAAGAATTAAACTTTTTCGTTCGATTCGTTAAACCGTGCGTCCGTGGAATAAAAAGGCGAGGTGAGAAAAAGTCGTTGTTGCATGTAATATTGAATTTATTTGAACGTGTTTCACGGTCCACTTTGCAGGATTCGATACGGTTAATTAGATACACTATCGTCGCATACATTAACTATTAAACTGCTGCACACATACTGTCGTTTCCTTCGAACAGAGCAAATGTAGTTCGTACAGAATTCAATTGAGATTTATTGATGCTCTTGAATAAATAAATAATTCCATTAAAGATCGCGAGTCCTGTAATCGAAACTGAGGCACGTTTCATCAACCTAATAGCAAACATGTTACATATTAAATGATATCTCGTACTGTGCTACTCGATGAAAAACAAGGGTTAGTTCTGTCGAACACGAAGACGAGCTAACACCCTCGAACGAGCTGACACAAAAGGGACAGCTACTGGAGACCTGTCAAAACGTTACGTTCAGTTTAACACGATGTGTAATCGCGCCCGCGATATTGATAGCGACTATAAATCTAACCGGGCAAGTAATTATAGTTGGACCGTGTTAAAAATGCCGAGTTTGTTGATGAAGACACGCCGGAGCCATTCAACCGGCGACTGGTTCTTTCTTCGTATTTAATTAACGACTGAATTAACGCCCGCGTGTCACGCACGCCGAGGCGCGAAGTGACGCAGCATCCACTTTCAACGATGATAAGATTGATTCGCCTGTACCTTAAGGCGCCTTGTAAAACCCATTGAAGAGCTTTAAGTAATCAATATCGTACGAAAACGACGGGTCTCAAGGCACGGGAGGGTGGGGGGTCGAATCTCATTACACTCCGCAGCTAAGGCCATTGTGCAGCTGAACTTCATTATCCGGACTAATTATTTCAAAGTTAGTCGAACACAGCTCGCCACAGTATAATGGCGAAGGAAGCGGTCTTGGTGCCCAAGAGGTTCGCAGATAGACCAAAAAGGAACGAGAACCAGAGAGAGAAAGAGGGCGACTCGCCGAGGAGAGCATCGCGCGCGCACCGAACATAATATCGCTTAGTATGAGACTCTTGCTTTTGTTACCATTCATTAAGGTAATTACAGGAACCGATTTTACCCTGTAAATACCTCGACGCAACCAAGAGAATTGAATACCCGTGCATTGCGACCGCTCTGTGCGCGCGTACGTATCGTGCATGTGTATACCGAACGTGTTCTGTTTCTTGAAATACATAAAACAACAATCAAATTCCTCGGTGCACCTAATAGTCTCCATTTAGCCTCTTTTTATAGATAACATTTTATACCCTGAACAGCAGAATTTAATTAAAAGACCTTCAGTATCAATATAACTATTTTTTAGACATGGTTTCATTTTCAGACGGACAGTAAAAAATTAACAGCCGACTTTAATTCGTAATCTTTGCTAGTTAATTCAGGGCTTCATAAATTTCAATACGTATAAAAACAGTTACTTTGAAACCACTAGAAATGGTGTCAGGATCGTTGCGCCACGCGTTCCAATTCAACCCCATCTTTTAATCTCGGCTTCCAATTTGAATTTTTCCACACCGATCAAACTTTTTGCGAGTCATACAGCGTGAAAGATTACCCGTCAAGGCGATACGAGCAGGCGAAGCACTTGCACGTGTGCAAAAACAATCGGACACCCTTTTACGGATAGAAACGAATCACCGGCCCCACAAAAAAGACCTAATGCCGTTTGGGACGTCGTTTTTGCTTGCCGCCACGGTCGTTTCACCACCGATCGCGCAACCTGATCGACACCTCGTCAACGTAGTCCTTACTTTCATAGAACCGCGACGCGTCACAACGAGCTGTGTAATAAATTCTCGAATTTTGATCCGATCGAAGCAGCCAGGATGTCATCGTCTTGCATATGTACCTACACGCAGTTTAGTTTTCTGGCAGCGATCAATTATTCCAATCTCGGCTGAGCTCGGCGCGGCGCGGGACGCGGCTGCCCGGAGGAGACCGAAAATTCTCTCGAGTGGGTGAAATCATCCAGGCGGAAAATTGTTTTGCCGCTATTCCGCGATACGTAGAGTGGGCAGGTATAACCGTCGCGGATGGGACTTATCGATTTTATTGAGAATACAACTCGACTCGTCGGAATACGATTGGGAGGGGATACATGGCTCGTCCAGCAGCCGGTGAGACGTAAAAACGCGAAATGGAAAAATTTGAGGCCGGGACCAGGTTCGGTCCCTGGTCACATCGTGGCTCGAGTAGAGGTTCTCCGTTTAATTGAAAAAAGGAAGATGGGGGGCAAAACGTAGCCTCTCGAAGAGATTCGATTTAGAATTTCTCCCGGTGCTCGATACCCTCCTACCGGCGCAGTGGCGTTGCTCCGGATCGGTCCCATTCGTTCAGGATCTTCCCCGGGATCGCTGTTGGAGTGCCGTTCTGCGACGCGGCGATCTATGAGGGGAACACTCGACGCGCGACAAACCGTCACTGGGCTCTCACGGGAATTTTCAATCCACGCTTCTTTGAGCGTCGAGAACCGGATAAATCACCGTTTTTATTCACACTGCATTCGACCGGACCGGATTCGATTCCCCTAGACCCGGCGTACGCCGAACCGAATTAAAAGTCTGATCTTCCTTTCGCGTTTGTGTATTTTGAATATCTGATCGGACCCGTTGACTCGCGGAGCGACTAACGTGCGGTAACGACTGGCGAACCGGGGGATTTAAACGGTGGCTTCTGTCATCGGACGAGAAATTACGTACCTGGTCGGGTGACGTTGGCTGGTGACGGTGACGGCGGACCCGACGACGGCGACTACGACGTGAACGACGACGAGGGAGACGCGACGCAGATCCCCGCACGCGAGATTGGCTGTCTAAGCGCACTGTCGATGTTCTCTCTTTCTATTCCTCGCGTGCCCTTGGACTTGAGCCCCGTTCACGGCCACAACCAACACAGAAATGCTGGGATTGCAAGGCGTGCGGCCACTTTTCCTGCCGGTACCCACCAGGTGGGGGGATGTGCCCGGTTGCTGTTGGCAGGTGGAATGCTCAACATCACCGCAACGTACTCACGAATTATTAGTGCGACGGGACGTTCCGGAAAAGAAGAAGGAGAGGAGAGTAGATGGTGGTGTGTTTGCGATCGGAGCGGGAGGCCAGAGGGAGCGAACCGAGGAGGGGGTATACCCGAGGGAGGAAGGTCCCCGCGATTCGGACGATTCGATGCACGGTCTCGAAGTACGTTCACCGGTGCCGCGCTTCCGCGGTCTCGCCGACTGGAACCTTTTTCGGTTTCTCCGGCCTTGCGCTCGCTTTTAAGGTCTTTGGACGGTCAACGCTTCCGGTCCCTCTGGCGCCCTGCGGTATCAGCTCATCCGACCAGAACCCCAATTAGCTTTTTCAATTTCTTTCCTCTCTTTTTTCGGCGACGCTGTTAATTGAGTTGCCGCTTCCCATCGGCTACCCTTTTATTTTTTAATAGGATTTACATGCTTCTTTCAGTTCCGTCTGTCGTTATGTGATATGAATGATTGTTAGTGTCTGATTAACTTTATACGTTCATTTCATCTGTAATAAAATGGTAATACGTATATATATATATACGATTCCCAGGATGAAGATTTTTAGTCTACGGAGGAGTTTTATTGTCATCCCTTTTTAGTGTCCGCAAGAAACAGTCCGTTTTATATTTATGCGTTTGCGCTTGAACATTTATTTTAAAAGAGTTAGCGAAATTAGCGTATACAGGGTAAAGGGAAACTTTTATGACGTTCCATACGCAAAACAAATTTCATAAATTAAACTCTCCTTAGGGAATGTTTATGACTTCATAAAAAATGTTGTAATGCCAGTTCTGTTTTATCGGGAAAATTATGGTGCTTTAGATTCACCTTTAGTGCCACTATTTGTCGCACGCCTACAACAGTAAATTCATAAAGTCAGAAGATATCGCGGCAGTAAAATTTATTGCTATATTCTTTCGCGTGAATAACCTGAAAACACAATACCAGCGGATTTATTATTTTCATCGTCCGTATATACGAATTCGTTTAAGATGAACACGCTTCACGCTATTCCCGTCGTGCATAAACAAACGAACCCGAACCATTTCTGATTTGTCGGTGCCAGTCTCCCTCGTCAGTTTTATACGAAACAGGTACGATCTTATTTCGCTGTACGAGGTAGACGACTGAAAAAAGGCGTTGTATCGGCCGTAAACACGTTCTGGCGTGTGTATCTCGGCTTTCTTATTCCAATTCTATAATTGCGTCTGGACCTGGTTTAGTGGTGGTCGGCAGTAAGCGTAACGCGTAGAAATCATTGAACGAATCGGCATGCTCGTATCGGTGGCCCGATATTATCGTCAGATAATATAATATCGTAAACGATTGCCGATGAATGCGATCCCGTTCTTCTAAGCCGAGCGAAATGTATCGCATTAAAATGGAGTAAAACGGATGCTATAAATCTTGGGGCTACTTCGCGCTCCTATACGCCGTACGTACGTACCACGGGGCAAGCGTGCACGTATGTATGCGGCGCTGATTCAGGAAAACGTCAAGTGGATCTTGTCCAAGCAACCTGTTCGGAAGCTTTTCATGCGGCCTGGGATCGCTACCATCAGCTTGACTCACACTCGTCAAGAAATTGTCATGGATCTCGCGACCGCTTGCAAATCACGTTTCCGCCTGCTGTTGCTGCCTCCATCTTCCTCCTCCTTCGAGCTAGCTTAGTGACTTAATAGTCTTGGGAACTGTTATCGAGGAACGGAATAAGTGGAGCAACGAGATTCGCGTCATCTCGTTTAAAATACGTACAGCCAAGCGTTAAGTACATAACTGGCGTCTATCAAGATCCGTTGTCGGAATATCAATATCAAGATCGCATTAAAATTGCTTTCCTTCATCTCATAATATATACAATTTATGTTGAAATATCTCGTCTATCGAAATTATTTTTATGCAAAACTCGGAATAATAAAAAAATAGTTTACTCTCATCGTAAAACTTAAATAATCGATAATGGACTCGTTGAACGAACTTGTGTTTTCGATCTGGCGAATTCAGACCTCAGACGAAGAAATACCATTTCGCGTGCAACGTTACAGTTCGCACTGCTAACGAGCGAGAGTTCGTTCGATTTCGTTCCGGCGTTGCTCACCACAGTTACGCTTGACGTCGTAACCAACATCCTAACGGGCGTTCCTATTAGCGATGTACCTTCTTTTCACTTTATGGACGACGATTAATTTCCTTAATTCCCTTACACCTTCCTCGGACATTTATAATCTCTGCTGTCCGTCCGTGCCCGTGACATGACGTAGGAAACGAGATTTGTAAACATGCATCTAGCGACAGATATATGCATCTGATAATTAGTACGTGGAAATGATCGACACACACCGACAATACATTAATTAGCGAATTGGTAACGAGGCCCTGAATGCCATTTTTTAATCTGGGAATATCCTTAACGCTGATTATCTCGTTATCATGAAATAAATCCTCGCGGGAGTCTATCGTAATTTCAGACAATTGTGGGATCGGTGTAAACCCTCTTATCGCATCCGATAATCTTATTCAAGATTTCATAACACCGGTTCGAATTCGTGACCATTTTCGTTCAAAAATTTTTAATTCTTCAACCCATGTAAACTAGAGCGAAACATTTCCTCTGTACATACATATAATCATTATAAATTGAATTTTAAGGTTTTCGAATTAAGAGAGCACTTACTAACACGCAAGTAGCCAACGGGTCATGTGTCTCTTGCGTTACGTGTAGGTATGCTAATGGAAAATATGAGGAAGCTCGATGCCTCCGTTCAGAATTTTTTATCGGAGGGGACAACGTTCGGATGACAGTACACTCAGCTTTATCTCTTCTCTTAAAGGGGTTAGACAACTGTTACGCGACGCAATTATACAAGATTGATTTAGTTATATCCTGCACCTGAGGATCAGGTAATCAGAGACATTAAAATGATGGAAGATAAAACGTGAAATAATTTGCGCTTGTATTAAATATATACGCTGCTCAACTGCGTGAAGGATGTCTTTCATCTTCATCAGATATATTCTGTGGAAAATCCTTTGAAGAGTGACTTATCCCACGCTGTTAAAATTCTAGTAATAGAGATCGTTGCTTAAAACATAATTTCTTTTATTCCTATTCACACTTCATGTGATGAATAGTGTTAGATACGTGAAAGTTTAAAATGTAACTGAGATATCTATTTTAATGGAGCTATTTATTTTATATGATTTAATTGGAATTCTTAAAATATGTGCAATATTTTCATTTAATTTTAATAATTGTACCGCCTATCGTATTTTATTTTTGTACTCACAGCGTTTACGCAATTTTTTCATTTAGTTTTCATATTATCTTGGTTGACGTGTATACTAGATGTTCTATCTGGAATCTTACACAAGGTGTTTCCTCTGAAATTACTAAACAGAGGAGCAGAATGCTGTCTCATATGTAAGATTTAGCGAGGCCTTTTACGTGAGAGATAGGCTGCCTGCAATCCTAAAGGGATTATAAAGGAAATTCTGTTTTAATTTTTTTTGAACGATGTGACGCGAATTCCTGTATAAAATGGGAAACGCAACGAATATTTCTGTACAAAGCTAACAATGATTGGTTGGAAAAATTGAAAATAAAATCTATCTGATTTAAATTCGCAGCTACAAATCTGAAATGGTAAATTTTTAGTGGCGATAAATTAAATGACTATTCAGATCGACTTTAATTGGAATCTTCTAAAGATAGATACTGATTATAACATAATTCCTGCAATTTTATTTAAATTTTATTTAAATTTCTAATACACAATACAATTTAATTATTTGAAATTCTGTTTAAAAAAGATTTACATTACGTTTAATAGAACATTTTATATTTAATTAATTGTTACATTTACACAGAATATTTTGATAAACGATGAAAGCTTCCAGTATTTCTGATAAACAATATTCCTATCGCAAGAGGATTTGGTCACCGTTAACAGAATCTATCCCCATCGCGCGCATATCGCATAATAGATTCATAACGTAAGCTGTTCGCCAATCGACGTCCCACGCAACGAAATAGCGACTATGATCGCATAAACCAGAGCTGGTTAGTATGTATGAACGCGTTTGTTAAGGGCGCGCGTAACAAATGTACGTACGGTTTAACGACCGGAGGACTCATTCTGAAACCAACTAGAAGAGGGACGTTCTGCAATTTGCAACGTGACCTGTCGGAGATAAATGTCGCGCGTTGTTACTCTGCCGCAGTGTCTCAGGCAAAAACCATTCGAGCTATATCCGAGCTCTGTTGTCACTCCTGGAATCCTATAAGCAACTGATTACACACAATTTAGCGACGTCTCGTTACGCACTCGGATCCAATCACCTATCGCACCTCTCTACACAAATTAGTATTAATTACAGTTGTCCTATTAGAAAGTGCTGTTACAATCGTTTTATGGATTAATTAGGTGTACTCTAAATTGAAATAAAATATCTTTTATTGAATAATTTAATGAAATCGAGAAATAATCATTCATATGATTATTCTTACTGGTTCAAAATAGGACTGACTGCTAAAAATTAGAAAAGAAACAATCATCATCAGTTCAAAGTTTCATGTGGTTCTGTCCAATCTATTTACAATCTTCTTGTATTTTCTAGTAGTTGATTGCGACCAAGGAATACAATGTTACCCTTTTCCCAAACAAATCGAAGGACGATAGAATTTCCTTTGATGACTTACACTAGGGACGCGTTCCTTTTGCCTACGGGAGAGACAATATTTACGTGCGCCAGATTGAATTTGTC